CAGGTCAGATTTCAGGTAGTTTTTCTTGTAATTGAGGACAGGGTCAGACTTCTGCATGAATGCATAAAATTTAGTAATGCCTGTTGTAGCAAATTTAGTAATGTTCCTTAGTTGTGTCAGTGCCATATCATGATGTCACAGTAAACATGAAAAGAATCAAATAAAGCACTTGTCTGTGGAAAACTATATTTTTAAAGTCTCCTGACATCATGCTGCTGATTAAGTTGTTACCATGGCGACCTAGGTAGATAAACTGGATATTGTTTACTCTAGAATAAACAAGACAGATCCATTTTAATCACTGGCAAAATGACTAAATGGATAGATCTGAGACAGAGAAAACTTCATCACTGCTCATTTAGGGGTCTGGAAAGCCTGCTTTGCTTTGAGTTATTAGTCAGCTTTTTAAAAGCAACAAAATCAACCTGGCCTTCACTAAGCAGCAGAGAATAAATCTTCTTTACAGGAAACATTGTTGCTTAGAATGAGGGAGAGAACAAAATGAACCATATTCTGTCATAAGAGTTTTGTATTTTAAGTTGGAGAGAAAAAGGGGGCGGGATCGGGAAAGGTCCTCGAGTTGGGATTCGAACTCGGAACGCCTGTTAAATTAAATTTAAATTCATTATTTTTTTTATGTAAATAATATTACTAATGAAATTTAATTGAACACATCCACAACCATTTCATTTAAAATGTCCAGTCTTTATTTATATTTTAAATTTCATTATTAATATTGTTATTATTATAATTCAGTAAACATGAAAAGAATCAAATAAAGCACTTGTCTGTGGAAAACTATATTTTTAAAGTCTCCTGACATCATGCTGCTGATTAAGTTGTTACCATGGCGACCTAGGTAGATAAACTGGATATTGTTTACTCTAGAATAAACAAGACAGATCCATTTTAATCACTGGCAAAATGACTAAATGGATAGATCTGAGACAGAGAAAACTTCATCACTGCTCATTTAGGGGTCTGGAAAGCCTGCTTTGCTTTGAGTTATTAGTCAGCTTTTTAAAAGCAACAAAATCAACCTGGCCTTCACTAAGCAGCAGAGAATAAATCTTCTTTACAGGAAACATTGTTGCTTAGAATGAGGGAGAGAAAAAATGAAACCCATTCTGTCATAAGAGCTTTATATTTTAAGTTGACATGTATGCATTGTTATTTGGAAACAAACCAAGGGCCAAGCAATGATCCCTCATCATTAACGGTCGTTTGAGTGGCATGCTGACAGCAGAGCTGATGGTTAGAATAAACTTGCAATACTTCAGTGCTTAAGAGAATGTTTCCTTTCCAAATAGTGTGGCAGAGAAATTGAAATTTACTGGCAGGCAAGGCTGAATTTGCCTTTCTGGCTAAACTTCCTTCATTGCCTTTTTGCACTTTGTTTTCTGAACTGATGTCTGCTCTGGGAGGCTTTTTAACTGACATCTGTAATATCATATCACAGGAAGTGAATTTGACATAATTTATATATTTTGTGATTTATATATTATCATCAGTTATCATACTGTGATTCTTTCTTGTGTGTTGTGACTTATTTTTTGGTTACATTATGATGCTTTATTTATTTATTTAACTGTGGGAGTGAAGCATTCATGACTAAGCAAAATTGCACATTTCACACCACTTTAATATTGACCCTATTAATTTTTCATGATACAGGCTTGTGTTTGGTTTGAATGCATGCTACAGAATCATAATACTTTTACTCTAAAATACACTACTACAGCTCAGTTTTTTTTTTTATGTCTCTCATGCTCAACAAGTTTATTTACTTACTCAAAAACGCAGTAATATTATGAAATATTATTAGAACTGTTTTCTATTTTAATGTTTTAAAATGTAATTTACTCTTGTCATGCAAAGCTGAATTTTCAGCTGTCTTCAGTGCCATGTGACCCTTCAGAAATCATTCTAATATGCTCATTTGCTGCTCAAACATTTCTTATTATCAATGTTGAAAACATTGTGGAAACCATGATATGTATATATATATATGTTTTCAGAGCTTTTATTTAAAATATAAATCGTTATAACTTAAAATATAATCATTATGAATGTATTTGATTGCCACTTCCATCAATTTAATGACAAAACAAACTTTTGAACAGTATTGTAAGTACTAAAAACTGCATTCTAATCTAGATCTTTCTCTAACATCTCGGTTTCTCTGGTTTAGGGACGAGATTCAGATGAAGTCGTATAATCAGACAAACGGGCAGCCCAAACCATCTTCCACCCCCTCGTCCCCCTCTCATCCTGTCAGCGTATCCACTCGCCCAGGTCAGGCATATTCCAGTGCTGGCTCTTCTCAGAGCCCCGCCCACAAGCCTGGAGGCGGGGTGAAGAAGGTGACGGGCGTCGGAGGGACCACTTACGAGATATCAGTGTGAGAGACACGCTGGTTTGACCCGTGTTGTCAAGAATTGAGCCATGGACTCATTTTCCTCACCGACACAGCAGAGAAAATCCTGTTTTGCGGACATTTATTGGTGCCTACAGGAAAGATCTGAAAACTTCTGACCTCTGCTGTTATTTTTTGAAAAGGAAATCATGCTGACCAGCAGGTTTTGGTTAGATATGACATAAAGGAGGAGGAGGAGCAGGGGGTCATTCGAGTCGTGACATAGTGGGACTTCAGGACTCCTCACCAGTAAGGAGCTGGAGCGCATAATCAGTGTGACGGCAAAGGACCGGATTGCCTTGAAAACATTTCAGTACATAACAACAAAAAAAGATTTTTATCCAACATAAATGTGTAAATTGTTCAGTATAGAGAAAAAAAGATCAGTTTGTTTTTTGTTGTTTTTTTAATCACCGAATGGAAGTAGATTTTTACAAAAGGGGACCTGTGGCATTCAGCAGCCATTTCAGACCACTGTGTTTGGCATGCGACAATGTATCTGTATCCAATCAGCACCAGGGAAGCAAAACAGTAGAAAAGATAAGGACATGGACTAATGCGTTATTTAAATGACAGCAGCCTTTTCAAGTGCAAGTAGTGTTTTCTGAGCAATGGCCTTGGAAATTCAAGGAAGTTTTTATTTAATTTATAAAGTGTTATTTTATATGACTTTATAAATGGCTATTGATAAGATCAAAACGTTTTTTTTTTTTTTTTTCTACAAAGGCTGATATTTGTTCTCTATGGATTTTATCTAATCAAATAGAGGGATAAAGAGCTGATGGCCGCTCTAGCTGGAAAGAGATCAGCTGGTAATCAGAGGGTTAATCGTAGCATAAAAATGCATTTGATATGGTGGAGCCCAATCTGTGGGGCATATTTCAAATTTTATCCTGTAAACATTGATTGGCTGCCTCTTAGATCTGATTTATTTTTTCATTTCGTTTTTTTTATATTAATATGTGAAAGCCAAATCTCATCGGTGGCCTTGACTAGCCAGCCTTGTAGGATTTAAAGGAGTCATATGATGCGATTTCAATTTTTCCTTTCTCTTTGGAGTGTTACAAGCTCTTGGTGCATAAAGAAGATCTGTAAAGTTGCAAAGACTAAAGTCTCAAATCCAAAGAGATATTCTTTATAAAAGTTAAGAGTCAACCACATCTACCTAAAACGGCTCGTTCTAACACGCACCCACGCACTGGATAGCTGGCCAATCATAGCACACCTCGCTTTTCAGACCGATTAGCTTTGTAAAAATCGACGCGTTTCAGAAAGGCGGGGCATAGAGGAGAAACAATAATGTACAGTATGTGGAAAATAATGTGTTTTTTTAACCTTAAACCGCATAAACATTTCATTACACCAAATACACAAAATAATGTTCTTTTTAGCAACATCATATGACCCCTTTAAAGCTTCCTGCTCACGATGCCACAGAACAGGTGGGGAACCATATCAGTGCCCTCTGATTGGACAGCAGTTGAACCAATCAGGGGAAGTTAGCTGTCGTTATGAATCAGTGAAAGCCTTTTATTTTTAGTTATTTAATTCTTACCTATTGCATTTGAGAAGATTGTGACATTGTGCAGGACTCATTTCAGTCATCGTCTGTCTTGTCAAGGATGTTGATCAACATTTAGATCAGAGCTGGCCAATCGGGACAGAATGTGTTTGCTGACTTGTACAAAGCCAATAAATACACTTACAGGAATATTTTGGATCAAAAGATGGATTGAGGGGAGGGAGGGAAAGAAAAAATAACGTGTACTGTATAGTTCAGTGTGAGTGAACATGGTTGTGAATGTGTATGCGTGTGTGTTTGAGCATTGGTAATAAACTCTTTATAAATCAGTTATGATTTTGACTTTAATGTCCCCTTTATGCATTGCTCCTGTTTTAATAGATAAAAATCTTTAGAAAACTATACAACAAAACTATTTTTTTTCTGTCCATCCACAAATATGTGAAAGCCCGTTTGTGAATGTAGACATCAGAAAAATAGTATAAACATATTTTGGCACCTCGTTACCTTGTTGCTGCATTGGAAAATAACTGGGTGTACCTAAAAATACTGAAAATGTTAGTAGATGTGCTCCTTGAGATATACAACCTTATATTGATTTGATCTTAATGTTCAAGTAATTTTATGTTTTTGTCATCTTTTTAGTTTTTTTGTATGTCTAAAGTTTAAACTTTTCATTTTAGTTTTCGGTAAGTTTAACAGGTTTTTAGCTAATATAAAAAAGTTTTTTATATATATATATATTTTATTGAATTAATGAATTTGGTATTTAGTGATCATTTTGAAACAACCTGTTGTGATGAACCTGTGGTTACTCTGGAATTAGTGAAGTTAGTTCTGAAAGGTCTACGAGGAACTGTAACTTTTATGTATATTTTTGGTAGCCAATACACATGGTTTGTGTCATCGAGAATGCTTTGACTGTTTGAACGCAAATCTCAAATGCTAATTGAGCACTTTAATGAGTCATTTATATATGCACGTTTCAGCTTCTGACTCCAAGCAACATCTGCTTGGTTATTCTAAGTCTAAATTTGGAGCAAATTTTTAAAACGCACAAGCTGAACAAAACCAGGATGTGAAGAACAAAGTGTTTTATTGGAATGGAAAAAAAAAACCTTCCATTCACAACCACTCAAAGCACTTAGTCATCTTTCAGACATCAATTCATTAAATATTAGTGAAAAATCAAGACTGGTTTACTCGATAGGGAACAAACAATATTGCTTTTTTTGTGGAGAAATTGACGACAAGATTCCACAAAACCAAACTGACAATAAAAGCTTCCAACAGTGAAAGTAATGACTGGAAAAGGTCAAAACGTGAAGACTGCCTGCAGCTTTCTTCTGTGCCTGTCAGTTTAAAATAAAAATGTTAAACACTAATCATTCAGCACAAATAAAATTAAAATAATAAGCTCAATATACAAAACATTTAAGACTTTTACAGCAGTATATTTTCTGTGAAATGAAATGTGTAACTGCGTAACAACTGAATTTTACAGAATATTATCTTGAGATCTTGCTCTTACAGATTTAGTAAATGTTCAAAATATGAACTGTTGGCATAAAAGACCCTCTCTTTTTGGACCACTGAATTCAGTCTAGTAGTCTGTACCATCACACAACCAAGCTGCATCTCAGAAAAGTAGTAAAAAAACTCTAGAAAATAAAATATTAGGAGTGACAATAGAATGGGAGGATTAACAATACAATAGAAAAACAACTGATATAAAGTTTGTTCCCCAATGTGATGCATATGCAAAAAAATAACCCCCTACTAATGATCACTTCACAATTATCACCCATATTAGAGGTAGATGTCCAATGTTTAACTTGATTAAATTAAAACAGCTGACAGAAATTGAATATGACAATGTCCCAAATAACAGTTGTTTGGATGTCTGTGTCCAGTATATCGATGATTATGACATTTAAATACATATTAATAAGGATTTACTACATTATTCGACTGATTTTGCACTTAATTAATACGTTATACAAAAAAGAAACGACACAATCATTCCGTTTATAACTTCATACAAACTCTTTCTCTCTGCATACTGAACATTAGCACATTCTGCTCCAGTCCCATAGTGATTCACAGTGCTCTTCAGCAGCATGCACTTTCTATTTGTCCTTCTTGCTCTCTGTGTCCATCGCGGTGATGGTCTCGGCCTCCGGCTCTTCCTCTTCAGGCACAGGGGCAAACACAGATTCGCTGGGCCTCTCGAACTTCTCTCCTTTGGTCTTACCAAGCTTCTTTGACTTCTGATACAGCTCGTTGAGGTTAAACTCTCGGATGATGTTTTCCTGGAAACAATGGAAAAACACTAGTCACAACACATTTATCTGTATAGTACAGAAACATACACAGAGAATAAAGCAGGATGTTTCTGACAAAGTTTTTCCACTCCTGAAGCTCTTTTTTTTGTTGTTGAAGATTAAGCCTCACCTCTGTGAAGGTCCAAGATACTGCCCGTCCCTTTTTGTCCACCTGAGGGCGCCTCATAATTTCCTTTCCTCCCTGGAAGAGCACTAGAGAGGGCAGCTGCTTTGAGAGAGGAGAGGTGCTGACCCTGTATCTGAGGGGAAAAAAGCAAACATTGCACATTGTCAAAATTTGTTACAATTAGCTCAGAGACACAGCAGAGCTGCTTACTTTTTGGCTACTTCACTGTAACGACCAATGTCCACTTTGCCAAACTTCAGCCCAGCACAGTTGTACCTGAGTAAGAGAGAAGTTAATAGTTTCTATTCAGAATATTTAAATTCACAGAAACTGATGCTAGATGTACAGTACAAGTCAAAAGATTGAGGTCGGTAAGATTTAAAAAAAACAAAATTTTTTAAATACAGTAATATTATGAAATATTAATACAATTTAAAAGAACTGTTTTCTATTTAAATACAATTTAAAATGTTATTTAATGTCTGTGATGGCAAAGCTGAATTTTCAGCAGCCATTAGTCTAATTTGTTTTTAATTAGTAAAATTATTTAGGATTTATTTCATATAGCTTATTTTCGTGACATTCATTCCATTCACAGTGCACTGGGTCAGCTGGCCAATCAGAGCAGACTGCGCTTGTCAAAGGAGGGGGCTTTGTAGAAAACGAAGCGTTTGAGAGAGGCGGGGCATAGAGGACCTACAATAATGTACAGTATTTGAAAAATAACGTGTTTTTTGAACATTAAAGCATGTCAACATATTCTGTTACACCAAATACACAAAATAATGATCTTTAAAAAAGCATCATATGACCCCTTTAATATAAGAGTTTATCACAGGTTTGACACTCTGAAATATTCAGGTTGAGTGCTTCTTGTTGATCAAAAAATAATTTGTATTAATATCAATTTTGAAAACAGTTGTGCTGCTTAATGATTTTTTATTAATAGCTGAAAAATATTACATTAATGTGTTTTTTTTTTTTAGGATTCTTTGAGGAATAGAAAAAAATATTCTGTCAAATTATCAATGTTTTACTGTCTATTCTGATCAGTTGAATGTCTTTTATGCATAAAAGTATAATTGTTTTCCAAAAAACATTTAAGCCATAATGAAGAGCGACGTTCTTACTTCAAGGACAGATCAGCATAGACAGAGGCGAAAGACTGACACTCTGGTGACCAGTTAGCAAAAAACTCCACGATCCAGGTCACTCTGTTATCCTTCTCCAACTCATCCTAAAAATAAAAGAAAAGTGAGCATCTATACACACTAGCATAAACTGAACAGTTTCAAGCATATATTTGAACTCAACATTCCCCTCAGGCTGCTGAAGTTAAAGTTCAGCTATGTGGCTGAAATTTGAAAATGGCTTATTTGCAAAGAATACCGGGCTGCAATGGTAATAAGCATTTATGGCCTCTGAATTCCTGTTACTAATAAACCAAGCACACTCAAGCTTTGATGTTTTAAGTCAGTGGTTAGTATGCAATGAGATGCCCCAGAATAAAGCGTGCCCATCACTGACGCTCTTCTAGTATACATCTCCCCAATCATTCTCATTCATATTGTTCAGATCTTTTCCCATTCTGTGCAAATGTGTTTTGAAAACCAGCAGCTCATGAGCCATGACTAAAGTACTTGTGTCTAAAGGAAACTGGCTAATATGAACCAAGCGGCAACCTTCCGCTCTCTCTCTTGTGAAACCAACACAGAAGTGACTAAAACTGCAATTCATCGACTGGCTTCAAAAGGGAGTCAGTCCCATAGACTCCCCATGTTAAAATGCCCAACTTTATAGCAGAAAAAAATGTTTACAGCTTGGTACAAAAAGTGGTTTTGGTCTATATAGCTAATTTTGCCCTTCATGACAGCTGTGAGGGGGGTGAATTTTTTTATAACTCATCCGTTTAAATTATATTAAGCCTTAACGTTCTGCATAATTAAGGGCGTGGCCACTTGAGTGACAGGTGGATTGCTGCTGCTGTCACCACCGTCGAGCTAGGTGGGCGTGGTTTCAGCAACCAGCTGAATTTTTTTCGATTATCCGTGAGTGACGTGCTGCCAAGATGGCGACGGCCAGCTCCGCCCACTTTAGGCTTCAAAAACCCTCTTCAGAAACCTACGGGTGACGTCACGGATACTACGTCCATGTTTTTATACAGTCTATGATATGAACACATACTCACATCAATGGTTTTATCACTGAAGTACTTGATGTATTCAGGGCCCATGTAGATCGGAGGTTTGCAGGTCATCAGGGAAACTGCATCAATCATTAGAGAATATTAACAGCCATCATAATACAATCACTACCACTATAATCAGTGGGATTTTAGTATCAATGATATACTATTTTAATTTTTGTTCATATTTTAATTAGATTTTATTTATATATTTTCTGTTTTCATTACAATTTTAGTTCAAGTTTTAATTTTTCAGTTTTTTTTTTAAAGATTTAGTAAACAATAATAAACCTGTATTACATTTGTCTAATTTAAATACCTTATAAATTATACTAAATTATATAGTACAGTTTTAATATGCTTTCACTTTTATTGTTTCAAAATCCTACAAATTTCTGTGAATTTAACAGTGCCCAGATTTACCCACTTTTGCTGTATTGTTCAGGGTTTTGGAACCCACTGTGTGCCATATTTTTATCATAAATAAATATAAAGACACAACAGTGAATGATACAGATGCACCACACGTGGGACACGTTGCCCATTTACTTATTTCCACATGCATTATTTTTATGTATGGTATTCCGAACTTTTTTACCGTGATTAGTATCAATGATATACTATTTTAATTTTTGTTCATATTTTAATTAGATTTTATTTATATATTTTCTGTTTTCATTACAATTTTAGTTCAAGTTTTAATTTTTCAGTTTTTTTTTTAAAGATTTAGTAAACAATAATAAACCTGTATTACATTTGTCAAAATTTTTTTTTTTAAGTCTACAGTTCTTTCCAATTGAGTGACTGTTTGCAATCTTGTGAAAGATAAAAAATACTGACCAATACACAATGTCAAGTAGAGAAGCCCCAAACGTATGTCCAGTCTGAAGAACAGAATCACATTGGCCACTTTACAAAAGAGGATGATGTTGCCCAAGTGCTGCTCGATAGTAACTGGGGAGGAAAGATATGAACATTTTCATATCGAACTGCTTTGTGATACGAAAATGCATACTCAAAGGGGTCGAGTTGAACAGCAGAGCTGGAGGAGGGGGAAAGAGTGTAACAGAAACACTGAATGACAAAGAAAACTGATTTAACAACAAACACAAAGACAACCGTCACTGAGAGCACAAAGACTCACAGGTGCCCAAATGTTTAGTGTATAAACAAAACCTTCACATTCAACCTCAGCATCAAGACGATGATGATGGTTAAGAGATTATTTGCTGACATTTGAATGCCAATAAAGAATGCTATAGAGAAAATGAACTGCACAAAGATGGAAAAAAGTGTTTTAAGAGGGAGAAACTCTTACTTGCTCTTCTGTTCTTCATCATGACTATAGCACTTAAAAACATCAGTATCTCCACCTCTCTCTGAAAAAAAAATTTATAAACAAAGGCTGACATTAATTTAAATGTTGCATAGTAAAGACGCTTAATAATATAAAACTAAAATAATATAAAGTGATATAAATGTTTATATATAATATTGTATATATATATATATATATATACACACACACACACACACACATTTTAA